TGATTATATATGCCTTTTGATATGCTTCTTTTTGATGACGCTGTAACTAACTTTTTCTAATAAAAGAGCCCTTCGAAATTCATTCGAAGCTTAGCTCATCCCGAGGAATTTTGTCTGTGTTTTCCTTTTGATTAGGCAAGGACACATGAGCAGCCCTCCAGTGTGGCGACAACGCCGCATTTGTTAAGTGAATTTTGTCCCATTTTCCATTCTTGACACAGGTGTTAAGTGAATCAAGATTGTGCAAGGCTCCTTCTCTGAAACCTTGGTTAGAAACTTAAGACATACAGGATTTAATTACAATGGATTATCAAGAGCAATCACTGGCCTTGAAACTGTAGAAATGGAATTTAGTGATGCACTGAACACTGTAAACATTGACAGTGATTTAAAGCAAGCAAAGGGGAAAGTAGCTGAAAAACTTTAGTGATAAACTGCAGTGTGTGCTGTAATTGAATCTTAATTATTCAACACTTTGCAAAATAAATAACATTCTCTCAAAGCAAAATTTGAAGACTTTGGGCCAGAATTTTCTCTGGATATCTCTTTTCAAATTTATTTCTATAACCTCTTGTGATGTCAAACAGTTTCTCCAGATAAAGAACATACTGGGTTAAAAGGAGTTTTGAGTCTGATAATCTCAAGATGCACATGGTCATCTAATGCAATTCTGCTGTTAATGAAAACTAATCCAGTTTATTCTCAAAATGTTTGATTCCTTCAATGCTTCCATGTCTACACTGGAAGTGAAATTGTAGAATAAAGTTTTTAATGTATGTGTGAATATAAGCAGAGATGTTTAAAAATTGGATGCTAATTTCAGAAACATTGTAATCACGTTTTTGCTTTAAGAGTCATGTTTGTTTTAATTGGTCTTATTTAATCAATTTTTAAGGTCATTAATCCTTGCATTTTTCTAACATTTTAGGTCATAGAAATCCTTGCCCTTATCATGACAATACCTTTTTTCACTTCCCCCCCCTACTACTTCCCTCAATTTTAGGTTTCCAGATCTATTGTCTTCTTGCACAGCAAGCCCAAAATATGTGCATTTCTATTTCTGACCATCTTAAGCAAATGGCTCAGAATGGGCTGATTTCTGTTAAAGAGCATGTATGTATGTATGTATGTATGTATGTATGTATGTATGTATGTATGTATGTATATGTATGCATATTCAGGTCTTTTCCCGTGTAAGATTGAGAGTATCTCGGTGACGTTTTGACGAGGTCCCACTCGCCATCTTCAGGCTGGTGCATTCGGCTTCGTGCTTGTGCGAGCAAAACGTGATCGGAGCTGCAGTCTTTCAATAAATATTGGTGGGGGTGTGTGGAGTGCTGGCTTTGAGGATTGGTTGGCTGTGTCGTAACATCTTGATTAGTTGATGGAGTTGATGTTCGCATATTAGTCGGCTGTTTCATAACATCCTGTGTGGTTGTGCGGTGTGCCTATTGTTCTATTGTGTTGTTACAACCTGGGTAATGGGCTGTGTGATGACATCCTGAGCTCTATTGTAGTGA